AGCTTTTGAATATCTGCAAAAAATTATTCCTAATCAGAACAACTTTGTCAAAATTTCTGTGGACTAGGAGTTGACTGTAAGTGAGTTAAAAAAAACAAAAAAACAATACATTTGAATAGAGGAAGGGGTACTATGGATTTATTTCTTAGTTTTGTCGTTTAGATTGTTAAATCGATATAACCTAATATTGCGATATAAAAGGGTTGATTATATCGATTTAAGAAATTTCTATATCGTCCAGCCCTAGTTCACATCACATACAAATTAAACATATACAAATACAACAAAAAATAACAGGTTTAAAACAATCATGTAACAAATTAACATTTATAATTCTCGCAAAAGCAAGCTTATATTTTCCCTTCAAATTAAAAGACTAGCAAAAGACTTATAATTAAATTATTGCTTTGTTACACTTTAAAATAGTCAGAAATATACCATGATAACTTACAACATATAAAATTTATTAGAAGCAAAAGGAAGTTTTCCCTTTTAAAATACTTTTAGTCATTATTAAAATATTACAATAGAATCTTAAAAATCAGGGCAATAGGCTTCGTTGTTTTAAAAACAATTTATGCAAGGTTTACATATTAAAAAAAAAAAGACCTAGCCTAAACCAGAAAGTTCTTTTTTACTTCATTTAAAATAATTTTCTTGTTGTAAAATACAATAATTATTTCTGGATAACAGGGTTGGAGTTTTTGCCGGCAAAAAGGGGTTTTTGCCAGGACAGCGGCAAAAACTGGTAAAAACCAAATTATCTAAATAGCTGATTAAATATTATTACAAAATACTTGAAACAAATTTAAATCAATCATAAAGAATAATAATTTTGATACATTACATGAAAAAATTATTTTTAACATATTAATAATTAATATAAAGGCAATAAATATTAAAACATTGAAAGTTTTTGATCTCTTTTCATTTTAGAATCCTTAAATAAATGTTTCTTACAAATAAATAAATATTATTATTTGTATAATATTATTATTTGTATAATAATTAATTACACATCTTGATAGATATTTTATGCTTTAAATTATAGTTATATTAATTTAAAATAAGTTCATTTCACTGGAAAAAAGAGAATAATCGCAAATTTTCCAATCAATAATGTTTTAATCTTCTAAAATGATATATTATTACATTATGATTTAATTATGGAATAATAATTTTGTTAATTTTTTTGTAATTATTTATATTTATAGTATATATTTCAATTTTAGGAATAATTTTGTACCAAAAATGTGTTTTTGTCCTCTTATCTTGGAAAATATAGGTTTTTGTCACTTTTTGCCAATTTGCTTGGCAAAAACCTGTTTTTGCCAGGATGGTTTTTACCGGTAATTACCATGGTTTTTTTCCACCTGCGGCAAAATCTTGCCAACCCTGCTGGATATGGTAAATAAAGTTAAATTTTAGCTTCGTAAAAATAAATAAATTTTGCAAATAAAATTATACTATAAAAATACAGCAATAGCTCTATATAATGTTACGTAATCAACTTCAAAATTAAATATCATTTTTAATTCTAGATATGCAACAAAAAATAATAACTATTAGATATTTTAAGAAACATTAGTTTGTTCAATTAAAGAAAAAGTAAATACTTGTGTTTTTCCAGAACCAGCAGAGCCATGAATTTCTGTCACTTCACCAGAATAAATCCCTCCATTTAAGAAGTTATTTAATCTGGAATTTAAATTAAGTTTTAACAATAATCATAAACATTGAACAAAATTTCAATCGAATACTATAATTCTTAACAGAATTTATATAGAACTAAAAAGATTAAGCTGAATGAATGTTTCTAAAAAAATATTAAAGAAAATAGTTAAAGTATATTTTTTCTGACATATTTTTTTTCTTTGAGAAATTAAATCAAAATATTTATTTTCACCACTATCCTGTAAAACAGAAAGGAACAGATGAAAGAAATTTTGTATAACTTATTTTTCATGTGTGATATTTAATTGCTTATTTATACATTATATAAAGGCTTTTCTATGAAGGTTAGCTTGATATGGTACTGTTTTGAATAAAAGTAGTGGTCGAATTTGAATGCTAAGAGAACACTTTTTTAAAAACATGCTGTTAAAAAAAGATCAATCAATTTTAGGTTACACAAGATTCCTTTAAATCTTACACCCTAATTTTGTAAAGTGCAGCCCCTTGAAAAGGTAGACACAAAAAAAGAAAAAACTATGTGTTAACAACTTTTTTAGATTCACAAGTAATGTAGGATTTAGTCATTCCGAGCAAGCCTTTCTTAGAAGCAAGTTGTTTTCAATAAATACCACAGATAGTAATACTTGAACGTTAAGATTCCTAAATTTGTAAATTTCCCTGTACACTTTCATATATTCAACTCTCTCTCTCTCTCTCTCTTTCTATTTTTTATAGCAAAATAAAATGCAATGCTGTTAAGTTGAACTCCAAAAACAGCAGCTAGAGAGATAATTACAAGAGCTCTTAGAAGTCTAAAATGATTCTTAGATGCCAGGTGTGCTTCAGAACTCAGCAAAAGCTATAAAAATTTGTGTTATGGCTAGGCATTTTTGAACATGCAAATGAACCATTTTTACATTATCATAGACTCTGCAATGACGTCCATAGTAGCAATTTTGAACAGCTTTAGTAGTTTTAAATTAAATGATTGATTTTTATTGTTTTGCAGTTGATAATTAAAAACCCCATGTTTGATGGTAAGTTTTCCCCTTTTATCGCCATTTTAATTTGTTAGTCCAATTTTGGAATACCCTGCACAAAGATAAGGACAACCTGTCCAAGATGAGTTTATTCGATAGCATTTTGAGAATGCATTTTTGTCTTACATTTTTCTTTAACACTAGGATAAGGAAATGCAAGAAATGTCGATTTGCAGACAAAAAGGTTAAAACAAAAAACTTTATCACATATCAACTGCAAGAAGCAAATAATAATTATTATTTTAATGCGATATTACATACTTTTTAGAACCAGTGTCCAGTATAGAAAGCATTTCTAGCAGTTCCAAATGTAAACTTTCTGCATTTTGGGGGAATATTGAAAATTTATCGATTAGAGAACGTCTTATGCTCAGAATATCCTAAAAATAAAAGATATTTTTAACTGTGCAAATAATACAATACGTGAGTAAACAAGGACATAACACTTTTTCATAAAGCAGTTATCACATTAGCTCTGTAATACTATTTTTGAATTGCTAAGTGTGGATTGATGGTGGTAAATAAAACAGTAATTCTCTGAAATATACTGGGAAATTTGCTTAATGTGAATGTTGTAAGCAATAACTTTCAAGAATTACTAAGTGTTGTTAAGGTTCAAACAACTTTAGTATCAGAAGAAAAAAAAACAGTTTGCATTAAGAAACAAGTTTCGTACCTAAAATACCACTTTTGTAGCAGGCAAATGTCGTGTCACATAAAATATTTCTTTAAAAATTCATTGAAAACAATGTTTTTGCACAAGAAAAAACAAGCACAGCTTACATGGGTTTTTAGTAAAAAATCTCTTTTTTTCTCAAGGGACCTGATTTGACTTTTAATAACTCAAAGCAAGAGTTCTCAAAATATTAAAAAAATAAAATTTTTTTTACTCGTGTACCGATTTGTAGAGTGATATCTTTGCAGGAAAAGCTATACAAAATTAACCAAAGTGATATGCAACATAGCTGAATACCTCTACAGCCAAGTCACTAGACATAATATCTCTTGAAAGAAGAGTCTAAAACCTAAAATTTCTTTCCATGTACAATTTTTTCTAAAACTTTTAAGATCATTTTTAACAAAATAATGTTTATTAGAACTACAAGGGTCTCAAAAACTGCTATTTTGATTTTGAATATTGTCATGCTGAAATATGCATAACATATTTCCTAATATTTAAAAACAAAATTATCATCTTATTCAGTCCTTTTTCAATAAATAAAAATCATTAATATAATCTGTAATCTTTTTTTACCACAACCTTGAAATGAGTGCAAAATAAGATATACTTTTAGAGATTCCCTTAACATCTGCCTAACACATTAGCATAGAATTTGAAAACCATTTCATGGTTATTAATATTAATTATTATTTCTCACATTTTCTTTTCAACCAACACATTTGAATATGTAAGGCTCAGAAAAAAGAGCCCTGGCAATACAGGGGTCTGCCCAGACATTTTGTGAAAGGTCCGTTTTTGTAAAATTTAAAAAAAATTACTTGTAATTTGTGAATATAAAAGTTATGTCACATTCTTTCAACCAGGGTCCGCTTTCGTGAATTTGGGCAAATAGGGTCCGTTATTGCAGAAAAAACTTTTTCAAGGAGTTTTTAAATTGTAAAGACATACAAGATCATGCTCAACACTGTAAAATTATAATTAAAAAAAATTAAATTCTAAAAAATAAACAGCAAGTGCAGCTACTAAATTAGCGATGCAACATACAAATATTTGGTATTTAGCCCATACTGCTGAATGCAGAATAGTCATTTCGGACAAATAAAGGAAGAAGCATCTTCGGAAGACAAAATTTAGTTTGTTTATATCTGTCTCCCCCCTTCCTGGGAAGGGTTTATTCGTAATGAAGATAAACAAATATGAAGACAATAATGAAAAACAATAATAAAGATAAACAAATTTGTGAAGGGTCCAATTAAAAAAATCAATTTTTTGAAGGGTCTATTTTTATGAAAAGATATTTTGTGAAGGGTCCGTTAACGGACCCAAATTTTTTCTAAACAGACCCCTGCAATAGATTAAAAGCCAATACATGGCTTCCTTAACTTTCCTCAGCGAAAACTATGTTAATGCACACATGCCACTTGCATTTTTTAATTTCTTGCTCAACAGAAGTATCTTGTAGGACTTAGCCTCGGACCATTTTTTTAAATTTATTATTTTATTAACTCATACGTACATAATAAAAAATGAACATTTCTCTTAACTTTGGAGCCCCATATATTTCTGAAATAAATTTTTTTTATTGTTAATCATAATTTGATTCTTCATTTAAGTAGTTTCTGATGTTTAATATATAATTGCTGGCCTGTATCACTCTGGGATAAAATACAAACAAATGAAAATACATCAATCAACATCTTCAACTAATAGTAAACACATCAACTTTTTCAAACAATAAATTTTCTTGATAAATATATAGCTTGTTTTTAATACTAAGAAATGATTTACTTCTTGCTATAAGTATAATATGTGAAATAGTTACATTACATTATATTCATCACACTTGTCTTTAAAAAACATATGGTTAAAAAAAATCATAACATAATTGTAAATAACATAATGTAAAAAGCAAATAAGTTTAATTTTATAAATGCATCAACTCCTTACTTTGTAAGACAGCTGAATCTTCTGAACCAACTCCTCAGGATCACTTGTAATAAAATCTACGACAGTTCGAATTTTTGCAGCATGACAAAGGTTAAGTACAGATGAAGATAAGAGAGGACATAAACTTGTAACTAAAACTGCCATAGGCTGTAAGTATTCATAAAACAATTAATACAATCTCCGACGTAAACAATAATGTGATAAACAATAATAACAATATATATGGCAAATAGCTTAAATTATTAAAATTAGCATTTTATTAATACATGGTCTTCCTAGGAATAAAAAAAGCAGGGTGCTTCCTCACAGAAAAAAGGTACTGGGTTTTAAAGGACACTCAGTTATCACCATTGAAATTTATCAAAATGTATAATATTATGAAAGAACTGAATTTGGTTCTCAACAATTTTTAAATTAACTTGCATACTATTTTATTTGTTTATTTCAAAAAGTAATTCTCACTCATTATCAGAATAACATAAAAGTTAGAAGCTTCTAAAAATAATAAAAGGCATGATAAAAGACAATCCGTGCAAAAACAAATTACCTATCCTTCTGATTTTTTAGTTCAGATTGAGTTTCTTGCACTTTTTATTTATTTCAAGCAAAGAGAAACAACCTCGTTATTAGCATTTTACTTTAACTTAGAATTTTAAAGTTTCTACTAAATCTTACGAAACAGTTTTTTCTTCTTTTAACATAGAAATAAAAAAGGTAAAACTATAAAAAATAGATATAGAAATTAATTTGTTTTAAGAATTGGAACTTGAGTCTGAATTAAAAGTAAGGCCGCAAATAACTACTATTTTTTGGCATTTTCCTTAATATAACTAGTCAAATAGTAATCAATACAAATAACTTTGTAACATCCATATGAGGTAAGAGTATGTTTTGTGCAATGTATGAATAAAGCCCTAATAGCTTTCTTAATTTTATTTGTACTACATTCACATTTAATGTAATACTAAGTCCACACCTTTTTATTTATAAGTATTGTTGAATCTATCACAAAGAAAATTAATTCAAATAATTGTGAGATCAGTGAGAAGAAACCTTATAAGAAAATAATTACTTCAAATTTTGATTTTCAAGGCAATCCGATTTTTTAAGGAAACGAATATTCATACGCAAATATAAAAATACTCTTTAAATACTTTCAGTTAATAATAAATAAATTAAGAATTTTTTAAAACCGCAAGTAATATATTAGGTTTTGTAAACATTAAAATCACTGTTCAGAACAATATACAGTCATAAAGCACATCCATTTTAAGAAATATTTATTTATAATATACAAACATAGATAGAAGATCAAAAGATACTTCAATATAACTTGCATAGTTTTATCAACCAACAAGAATAGCTATCTCTATAATTTATGTCCTGTCTCAATGGTATCTGTGATGAGACCTCAAGGGAAATGATAATGAGTAACCAAACACAAATATAAAACACACGAAAATACTCTCTCTATGCTTAACATGAATATTTAATCATAAAAAATAAACATGTAATTAGAAGTCTACTATGCTTTTCAGAAGAATACTTACAGTTAATAAATTAGTAAACCAAGAAATCCTTTTCAGACTGAAATTAATATATCAGGTTTTGTAGACATTAAAATCACTAGTCAGTACAATGTACATTCACAAAGCATATTCATTTTAAGAAGTATTTACACACAAGCACAGAAAAAAAATCAAAAAATTGTTTCAATATAATTAGCACTTCCAACTTTGCATTGTTTTATCACGCTCGATTAGAAGGATCAACAAAAATAGCTATCTCTATAACTCGTAGTCCTCTCTCTATGGGATCAGTGATGAGAAGACCTCGAGGCAAATATACAGTTTCATTTTGATCTTCAAGGTAAGCCGATATTCTTTTTAAACATTTTTGATAATGAGTTTCCATACACAAATAAATAACGTATGAAGTTAGGCAAGCAAGGCAACCTTCGCAAAATGTTGTGGTGCTTGTTTTCTCAGCTTCTGCGTATATTCTATTGAGTGTATTGATGGTCTGTTCAAATAAATGTCTATCTATTAAATCTTCCAGTTCAGGGGGAAATTTGGTTTGAAACTTAACGTTAGTTCCTTCAGAATAATCCCGTTGTATAAATACTTTCTGCACTTTTTCTCTGTGATTACTTTCGGATCTATTCACAGACGCAGCCATTGCCCATTTTTCCATAAACTTGTTTGTAGATTTTCTAGTGTTGCCAAAGCTTTAAAATTGATAGATCAAGCCGCTGATGCCACACGTCTAAGGGATAAAAGAGTAATAAATTAAATGTGACTTTTAAAAGTGTATAATAAAATAAATTAATTCATTTTTCACATTTAAAATGAATAAATCATTATAAAATAAAACTCTTACCATGATTTCCATAAAAACCAAAGACTGTTTTTGGAGCACTAAAAACAGTGCCAGCTTTTTCATTTTCTAACACATTTTTTATTCGTCTGCTTTTCATTACGTCATCAGTTTAGTTTAAAGAGTTGAATGCATCAATATTTTTGATTACACTTGTAATGGGCCTTTATGATATTTACGAACGGCAAGTTGAAAACCTTGGATTAAATATTTACATTAGCAACACTTGTATTGAAATGTGATTCTTGCATCGGTTAAAGCGCTTACCTCAAGAAAAAAATTGTATTTTAAAGAGTTGATCTGTTTCTATTACTCAAAAATATGGAGGATAACTGGAATGAACTAAATGTGTTAGAAACGTATGGGGCTCATCGTAAACGATCATATAAATTTCATCTGACAAGAAATTATGTTTTCGTTGATGATGACTTTAAGCGATTGAAATCTTTTGGAACATTTTTTCGGGTATTTTAATTTAGTTCTAACACTTTTTGAGCTCGAAGTCATTGTAAACTAAATAAAAAGGAACAATCTCGCCGAATTTATCGCAATAACATAAACTTTTAATATAGATTTTTAAATAGGAAATAAACTTTTCAATAGATTTTTAAGCTTGGCTTGATTTTTAACCAAAAAATTATGGTTTTTCATTTTGTTTATGATATATATATATATATNTATATATATATATATAAAATTAACTTTTGAAGCAATATGCTATTATGAAAAATAAAAAATACTTTACTTTATTTTGATGAAATGTGAGTTTTTAAAAAAAATATTCTTTGAAATATATAAAGGGAATGAAGTGGTTGGTTGGAGTTAAGAAAAATAACCTTAATAAAAAAGATTCCAACAAGTCATATAACTAAATGGGAAATAACTGAACATATTTAAAATATTTTTTTATATTTAGTTTAGATATCATTTTTAAATAGTGTTATTATATAGTGTTCAACTTTTTTTTCTCCTTGATACTGCTATGGCATATTTGATTGTGTTTTAATATCAAATAATAATTTTTATTAATTAAAATCAGTCTAAATATAGGTGATGGTATGGGAGTTAATAATTATACTAATGTTTAATTAAAACACTTTATGGGTAAGTCTTTTTGTTCCTTTACAGTATGATCGTAGTGCTTTGGTTATTTAAAAATTGTTTTGGCCTTATCCATTGAACCTAATTATTTTAGCATTTAATTTTATTGCTTTCCGGTGCTACAGACTAATTTTTTTCACATTTGATAAGAAGTTGCTTCTAAAAAATGAACTTAAAAAAATTTTCTGTGGAAAAAATCAAATGAACTTGCTTCAGAGATTAATGAGTTTGGTACTTATTTGGAAACACATTTTATTTTACATATATAAAATGTGTAGAAAAACATTTTGTTTTATTTTACATGGGATGATAATTATTATTTTTTATGGTTCTAGTAAATGTCTCTATACATTACATGCTAATGGTAAATATAGGTTTAGTAATATTGTAAATATAACCAATGAGATCATTATGTATTTATTTTTCTTATGAGAAAAAGTGTCTTTTTTATTTCTCAACCAAATATAAAATGGTTTGTTTAAATATTAAGATTAACTATATTTAGCATTAAATACCTAATAAACTTTTTAAACATTTTCAGGAAATATTTTTACCATATGGATATCCAGATAGTGTTAGCAAAGATTATTTGCAATATCAAATTTGGGATAGTTTACAGGTAAATAAAGCATTTTTAAATATATAAGTAAAGTTATTTAACACCAATATCTGTTTATTGTCAATTTGTTATATTTTTTTTATTAAATATAAATTTTTAACCAGTACCTACTTAAAATAAAGAGTAACATATTTTTAAATTCATAAGCCTTATTTACAGGGTTTCATTCTTTTTATGAGCTAAGAGCGTTAATATAAAAATGAAGAAACATCATGAAGTAGAAGAATCAGATGACCTTTTTGGTATCATAAGTAAATATCATCATCATTGCTTAAATATACAATAACAAGAAAACACTGAAGTACTAAAAAACAAAAGTAAGTTACTGAAATTTTTTTTTACCCTAGAGATAAGAGGAACAAGATGAAGTGAGAGATAATAAATGAAAAGTGGAAGTTAAAGTGAAAAGATTAATATAAAATAAACATGGTGTAAAATATTAAAATAACAAATGTTTTCTATGTTTAGACAATAGGGAATGTTAAAAAAGCCTTAATTTATATTATATTTTAGAACTTGGAATTATACTCCAACTATTTAAGTTACAGAGGAATAAATTCAAACAAAGATTAAAAACTATGTTGGGTGATAGATGAGCATTTTTAATGTCTAGTAAGGTTTGTGAAGTTTAGTTTACTGAGGTCAAGATCGTTCATAGTGATTTCTTACAAGAGAGTACAATCAGTAAAAATATTCGTTATAATGTTTGAAAAATCATGTTTACCTTTTTTTATTCTTTATTGCAAAAAAATATTTTTAGGTATGTGCATGAAAATTTTCATAGACAATAAAGCTTCAAGCAACCAAAAATTTGAACTTTAAAACATAGAAAATTTAATACAAATTCTGCTTTTTTTAAAAAAAAAATTCTTTAAATTAATATGGTGAGAGTACAAAAGAAAGAAAAAAAAACAGTTCGATAATTCTTTAATATTCCATTAAAATATTTTTTGCTAGTTATATGCAATTATTTTAAAAAAAATTAATAACATTTAAATGCAAAATGAAAATTTTTATCAATTTGTTTTCCAGGGTGTGCAAGTGTATCCTTTTGATCCCTTTTGGGCCCCCAAGATTGATGGGTGTTGAAATTGAACTTCTTTAAAATTTTAATAACTTGTCAATGGGAACTGATTCTTTCATGATGTGGTAAAATTATTGAAATTTTAAATGAAGTATAAATATATATTCAACATTTAGTATTTTGCTTTGGTCAATGAAGTCTGTTCAAAGCAGTTATAAGGAAATAAAATTTAAAAAAAAATATTATTAATTAATCTAAATTGTTCTTAATTTTAATAGTCATTGCACATTAAACATGGTGACTGGTCGCATTGTTTATAAAAGTTGTTTCAAATAAATCATGCCATTTAGCTTGAATGTAAACTTCAAACACTCATAGCATAAAAACTATAAATTTAAACACTATTGTATGTGGGGAAAAAATGCAATACGTGTTATACGATAAAGATGTATTAGGATGAACTTTCTACAAGTAAGTTTGATAGTTATGGAAAGCAAACTCTAAATCTGTCTTATCAATTTCATGTGCCCCTTTAGGTAACATTTTTAAGCAGCTAATTTTGTTGACATAAAAACTGACATGGGAATGAGTAAATTTAAATTAGTTATGATTCATGAGGTGTTTATTCATTTTTGGTGTGTTTATAGTTTAAAAATTGGATAATTATGTTTGAGTTAGTTTTATAGAAATTGCTGTTTTAGCATTTTTTATTTGACTTTCTTGATTTTCTTTTTCTTTGTGGATACTTTTGGGTTTGATGTTTTATTCCTGCCTGTATTAATGAATGTGTTTCTGTATTCTTTGTTAATTTTCATTTTATTTAGGTGAACAATATTATAAAATTATTAACAATCAGCACACAAAAACCAAATATGGTGATTTGTTAAAATAGAATTACCTAATATAATAATCCAGAAGTATAAAGGAAAAGCAAGAACAACATCCATTGTTATCTGAAAACACCACCTATAAGAATTTTTATATTCTATTCCTGTCTGTAATTTATCAGTATTTTCGTGTATTCACTTTTAATTTTCATTTTTTAAGATGATCAATATTATGAAAATATTAACAATCAACACACAAAGCGAAATATAGTGATGTGATAAAATGGAATGAATAATCCAAAATTATAGAAGAAGAGAGATAACAACATATGTTGGTCTTCAAAATTACTACCCTTAAAAAATTTTTAAAAAAAATTAAATGACTCTTCCTCCTGTTTTGCTACTCTCACCAACCCCTGTGTTTGCTTTCCATTCATTGTTGTTGTTTTTTCTCCTTCTTGCAATTTTTAAAAGAAAAAATATCAATTTGTTATTAAAATGTATAATTATTATAATTTTATGTAAGAACTTTTTGTAAATATGTTAATCTAGATGAAATAGAAGATTGCTTGGATTTAGATTTAAAAAACAATCAAATGTACTTTTTTTAAAAATTAAACTTAGAGGTACAGAATGGGTGACACAATAAGAAAAAATAATTTAGTACTTGATAATGACAATTGTAGTCATCATAACAGTTCAAATGGGAAATAGTTTTTATCTCTTTTGAATTAAGTTTCTTATATCCTTAAAAATTTCATTTTAAATATTAAGAGAATAGACATCTGTCAGTATCTATTTTCTCTCTCTTCTTTTTTAATCTTTTTTTCTTTCTTTGTTTTGTTACTTTCAACGTGAACTTAAGGGCAAACTTATAAAATCAAGTTTTCAAGAGAGATAATTAAATGTTTTACAGCTAGGAGGATAAATAGACAATTGTTTAATAATTTAAAGCTAAAAATGTGAGAAAAAAATTTGCAAAAAGCATTTAAAGTTGCCTTCACTTTTAAAAAAATTGGAATTTAAAAAAAAAAATTGTTTTAAGTTTATAGATAAAAATGTAGCTGTTAAAATTTCAACTCTTGCATGGTATTTTTTACTGAAATATTACAACAGTCAATAAATCTGAAACTAAGCTTTATAGTTTTCGCATTGCAAAATAAATAAAGTGAAGTTGAACACCCAAAACAACAGCAGTGTTCATGATTTTCCAATATAGAGAGATCTTGTTTTGCAAATTTTTCTTTTGCAAATAAACTTCCAAAAATTCTTGTTTTTTAAGATTTCAGTTAGACCTTTACTTCACACAAATTCATGTATTTTGTCAAATTTAGTAAAAGAATTCTTGCAGATCTAATATGCTTCTCAAAATATTGTGTACTTTAAACTGTTGTTGCTACTATCAAATGGTTGTTTAATGATGCAGATAATACTTCATGTATTATCCTAACATATCTTATTTATTTTAAATTTATATGTACTAAGTATGTCATCGTGTTATGTCACATTTGTTTTTTTACTAGTACTTTTTTTAAAACTTCCATCAATTTTTAAACAGTATTTGTTTTGTATCCTATATTTTTTTTATCCCATTTATTTTCATAAATGATTTAACTCCCTTAACAATCAAATTATATTTTTCTCCCTTTTAAACTACTTATTCTTGTAACATAAAAATAGAATAAAATTATTTATATTTTTTTTAGGCTTTTGCTAGTAGCATAACAGGAGGTCTCTGTACTCATGCTATTTTGAAAGGAGTTGGTGTTGGTAATGAAAATGCGTCTCCCATTGCTGCAACTATTACATGGTTGTTGAAAGGTATCCATAATACTTATTTTTAAAAAAAAAATATATTTTCTAGAAAAATTGTTTTGCCTTTGTTTGTGTAATTTGTGTACAAAACATAATTGTTTGTTTTATAGTTGCTATGAAACTTATGCAATATTAACCTTAGTAAAATATTTTCACAAATTAATGAACACTTTGTAAGCATAATAATATTAGCATATTTTTAGCAATGGAATAATTTTTACTATATTTCTTCTAAATTTAATCTTTAAAACTACTGATTATCGTAGAGTTAAAAATAAAAAAGGAAAGAGATTTATTCATTGATTATTATCAATGATATTTAAAGATAAAGCTGTAGATCTTCTGCTTCTTTGAAGTTTGTTTATACTTTATATATTTCTATACAAACTTCTCTGAAAAAACAAGTTTCTTATTTAACAGGGTTACTTAACTAGCCTAGGTATGTGTTGGGAGCAGGCCAATTGTGCCTTAGTCCACCCTAATGTGTTTTAGTTGTAAATTTTTCTTTAATAGTTTTCATAATTTAAAATTCACAAAATTTATAAAATTATAAAATAAAAATTAATCAGCTGATCTGCCTTTCTATAATTTGAAAAATTTTTTTTATTGATTAATTTATCTTTAGAAATCTTGAGAATAAAATTTCCTGAAATAAGTAAGTGATACAACACATATTTCATTTGCATTTATGGCTTGACTAGGTCTTTTTAAACGTAAAAGCTTTTTCTTCAATTTTCATATGACAGTTTCTACTTAATTATTTTTAAAAAATAAATGAATAGCTCTTTATTTCCTCATACATTAATTCAAAGACATGTGTCCATATTCAGTATAATATTTTAAAATGTAAAAGTTAAATTAGTGGGATAATAAAATAAAATTTACGTATCAATTTTTTTTAAAAACTGTCATTATATTAATACATAAAGATAATTTAAATTGTTTGTTATAAAATGAATTTTATCACGTTTGCTAAATTGATAGTGTTAATACGGCTAAAAATAATAAAAATTTTGTTTTAAATCACAGTCTAATGCAATAAAAAATATTCTTGCTTTTTAATGTCAAATTTTTAGGTACTCTTGTGTTATTCATGCGACAATTCTGAGGAATAATACATAAATTCATTTACATTCTATAATCACCATCATTATTGTAAGATTTATTTTTCATTCTTGATAGTTACTTACTGAAGAAATAATTCTCAACTGGCAGTTAAATGAAGATAAGCTGCAGCCTATGTAATAGAAATTATTGTAATACTGTTGTATTCTTATAGGATACATTTGATTAAAAAAAAACTTAAAAAAAACAAGCAACTAAGCAAAACTTTACTTTTTATTCATTTTATTTATATAACATAATTTTTACAAGCTATAAAATTTATAAATAAGTATATATATATATNCATAATTTATGGTATAATGTTTTGCTTTATATCTTTCTACTTTTTATTTTTCCAGCTGCTAACTCACGACACAGCTTAATATTAAAAGTAATTATATATATTTGGTATGTAATAACTTTTTTACATCGATTTTATGCTACTTAAGTAAAAAAAGTAACAACTACATCACAGTTTAATATTTGAAATTGAAATATAACACATTTTAATAATTTATTTTTCATATCATAGGTAAGGGAAACTTGTGTACTTCATACATAAATTATTGTTATAATATTTATATATAAACAACCTAACAAAACTTTACTTTTCATTGATTTTATTTATATAACATAATTTTTTCAAGCTCTGAAATTTATAAATTCATTTTTTTTGTTGGTATGTAATAACTTTTTTACATTTATTTTATACTACTTAAATAAAAAATATAACAACTGCATCACAGTTTAATATGTAAAATTTAAATATAACAAAAGTTCAATAATATATTTTTCATACCATAGATAAGGGAAACTTGAGTACTTCATAAATAAATTATTGTTATAATATATATTTACTTTTCCCTTTATTAAAATGTATGCATTTTCAGATGGATCATCCATGATAGGGAGAATAGGATTTGCTTGGCTTCAGGGGTATGTTTATATTGAAAAATAATTGCAGTCCTCTTCCTGTAATTTTATTTTCTTTTATTATAAAAATATAATTATCGTTATTATTGCATAAGACTTATGTCTCTATTTTTTATTTTGCATTTATCATCAAAAATTTGTGAAAGTTTAATAAAAAGTGTAAATAATTAGCATATTTTTAAGAAATAATTATAATAAAGAAGTTAAGTAAAAAATACAATTTTCGTGAAACGTGAGTTTAAAATTTAAATTATTAACAATTATTTAGATAAGAGAAATCTGTAATAAATCTGCTTTTCGAATTTATTTTCCCATTTTACTTTAGGATCTCACTCTTATATGTTCACTGTTGTTTGCACTTAACAAATTAGCCTTTTCAAAAATTTCCAATAAAAAACTTAAAAAAAGGAAATTTTATTTATGATTAAGTATTTCAAGTAACGTGAAAAAATTGTGATTAAAATTCAACTGAACTGATACGTAAAACACCAAATAAAAATTTTGTGAGTTCTGCACTATTTAGTAATTAAAATTAATAAATGAGTACAAATGCTGAAAACTGAAGCGAAAACTTGCTATTAAAAATGATTTAATTCATATAGTTTCCTGCGTTACTAATTCAATATTTGGCGAACTAAAAGCATCTAATTGGTAGCATACATTGCACATAATTCATAACATATTTCTATTTAGATTAATCTTTTTGCATAAAGTTAAGTTCTTAACATATTTCATTTTATAATTAACATTGCATAAATCTTCTTTTGAAATCTATTGTATCCTTGAAATAAGTTTTAGAACTAATACTGAATTTATTATTTTCTGGAAATAGAAAAAAAATGCACCTATATAGTCAAAAACATATTCTTATGAAATATTTTAACACACTTTTTAAAAGGAAAAAAATAAAGAGCAAAGAGAAATTAATGCATGCATAGAAAAAAAAATTATTCTTTTTTCCTAATCCATTTTATAAATTACTATTCTAGAAAACCATGTTCTTGAATTTCACACTTCTGCATGCTCTTTAAAAATATGTTGTCCCCAAAAAGTTAGTATTTTCTGTTGTTCATAAAATTATTTACACTTTTTTATGGATATTTATCTTATTTTTAGTACAAAACTGGATTCTGACTGTAAAAAATGGAGGTAAGGGTTTTTGAGTTTTTTAAATATTTTATTAAAGTTTTTTTTATCAATAACTTACTAGGCTGTTTGATTTCTTATTTATTATGCAGAAAGTTTAACTTAATTTTTAGTAGAATCTCTCTCTCTATATATATATATATGTATGTGTGTGTATGTATATGTAACATAGAAAGCTTCAATTAATCTTTTTACGTTATTCCTTTTCTGTAAATCCATTTCTTAACTTATTATTCAAAACGAAAGGTTTTCTCACACTTTTAAATTCACATCCTGACCTTTAATATATTTTTGGATCACATATGCATTAATTAAAAGTAAGGCATATCCCTTTGCTCTTTGTAGGAATTGCGTGACCAATTTGATGAACCAATTACAATTACTAAGATTTCTCTTATTCCCTAAACAATTTACAGATTTACTTTGCAAGATTTTCCCTACCTTTTATTTAAAAGCGCAGTGATTTCGTGTCCACTTTGATAAACGTTCTCTGTCTAATAATTAATAAATAAATTTTGTACCTTCCTTCCCTGCCTATGACCTGTTTTTATCCTTCCGCTTGACAACGACGTTATATGTCTTCAGGATAAAACGGTAGGAAAGGGGACACATCAAAGATATGTAATATCTCATTTAAATGATAATTTGAATTAAATCAGTCAACTTCGGAAGAGAGTACATCAAAAATATGGAATATTTCATTCAAATGGCCAGTTGGAAATTTATCAGCCAAATTCTTCTTCAACTCATGGTAATTCATAATTCATCCAGTATCTTCAACAAAAAAAATTTCTTCAATCATCAAACTTTTCGTTAATATAAATGATACCTCACTTAACGATCGTCATTTGTGTATGCAACATGTTATATTCTACGTTCTGAAGGCTAGGAATACTAATAACGAACTTAGCTTCAATATTTTTTACCCTCCTTGGTCGAAAAAGAAAAATTGCTAAAAGTTACAAACTTATCGATAAGACTTACAAGCTTACTGCTCGATTTTCTTACATAGGGTGTTTCAAACTACTAGCTTTCTTTCATAATTTATTGCTGACCCCTCAAATCTTTGAAATTTTTCAACTTTATTGCAAAGTATGAAAAATTGCATGAGCTAAGCAACTCTAAAGTCACGAACTAATCCTCTTCGTATTTTATGAGAAATTTAATATACACATATATATATATATATATATATAACTCAGCAGTTATGTGGAACATCATCCTTATCCAAATTTAGTTTTCTCAAACTATTAATTTCTTGATAGGCTTGGTAAAATTTTTGTATGCGTTAAGGAGTTAGAGGAAGGGTATTAAATTCTAACCACCTATTTTCATACCTTTTTATGCAGAGAGATCTTATAAGTAAGCCCATTTTTTGTAACTATCTTTTTACCTCCCATATTTCTCATTTTCCCACCTTCAAAAATCAAATGTAGTTATTTTAATATTTTTTTCTTAGGATTCCTGGTGAAATAAAAAGATTTTTTTTCCTCAATGAAAAATAGCTATGAATTCATTGCAATTTATTTTCGAAAAATTTTCCCCATTCTATGGTACTTGAACTATAGCTCAATGTTTTTTTAAGGATATCAATGGTGATTAACGATTTCTGTTCATTCAATTTTTTAGATGAAAAGTTTACTTTTTGTTGTTATTTTTCTAAACATTATGTATGAAAAAACTAGTTGTAAAAGTAAGTTGAATAGTTTACGTGTTTAACAAACTTACCATAATATACATTATACTTTTTGTTATTTTACAATGGTGTTCATCACTCATTTAGATATTACTGTATTGCTGACAAATGTAATATAATGATACAGAATTGTGTTTAAAATTTACGTAATCTTTAAAAACAAAATTACTTGCAAAAGAAAAGCTGAAAAGTTAAAATTGAAACTACAAAATGGGTTGATGTAAAAATGGTTGTCTGGAAATAAGACACTCAGAAACTAACTACACAATACAGACCATACCACCAGCCACCATACAGGAAAACAAAAAATATGACTGCATGATAATGTCAATCATCCTAATCTCTTTTATTTGCATAATTTATGGTATAATGTTTTGCTTTATATCTTTCTACTTTTTATTTTTCCAGCTGCTAACTCACGACACAGCTTAATATTAAAAGTAATTTTAACACTATTGTTGTTTGGTAGATTGTTTGCTGATGTTGTGAATGACGCTGCTATGTTTTTAGATCTGATATCTGGTTATTTTCAAGATTTCTTTTTGCCAATAGTCTGTGTATCTGGAGTATTGAAGGTAATTCTAATTTTATTTATCTTCTGTTTATGTCAGAGACCCTGTGATCGTGGGGTGGCTGACCTTTATTATAGTAATAACTTTGTTATTTGGTAACTTTTAAGTCTTTTTTTTGTGACTGCTCAATCTTTAAACTCTCTTAAGCTTTCTTTTTTTCCATACTTTTTACAGGCTATTGTTGGTGTGGCAGGTGGATGTACTAGGGCTGCCTTAACTCAACATCAGGCTAGAAAAAACAATATGGCTGATGTATCTGCTAAAGATGGTAGTCAGGAAACTTTAGTCAATTTGTGTGCATTACTGTGTAATTTAGTTTTGATACCTTTAATATCGGAAAACTCATTGTGAGTATTCTTCTTTGTTCTAATAGGACATTTATATTTTTGAAATTAAAATGTATAGAATTAAATTCTATGTGATATTATTTGTATTATGATACAAACTTTTTTCCAGTTTTTATTTGTGCTTGTCATTAATAAAATAACTGGATTGTGAAATCACTTGCTTTTTTAAATCAAATTTACGATAACAGAATCATTACAATTACAATATCGAAACATGCTCAAAACATCCCTTTATAAAATTATAATCGCCATCTTGTAAAATTAAATTTTAGTGGGCATATGTTTAAAATGATTGAAAACTTTGCTTTTTCTTATCTGAATAATTCGAATTTTCTATTTTCTCAGTTATGAAAGCATATAAATAATAAATTCCATTCTGCTATCTACAAACAAAAAGAACAAAGTTACAGGCATGGATTGTACTTTTTAGAGAAATTGAAAGGTAAGAGTGGACAAATTGTGAAAGAGAATGTGTAAACTGTTTATGAATTTAGAATTTTTTTAAGAATACTTATCATCATTCAAAGTCGATTATTACTCATTTCATATGGTAAATCTATGTTCAACAAATTTCCACAAGACACTTGATGTTTTAAAATGAACTTGACTGCAATTAAAACGAAATATTGAAAGTTACAAAAAATTTATAAACTTTCAAACCCTGTTAAATCTTTAATTTTAAATTTTGCTAATCAGACAAACATGTCAATATTTAAAAACCCTTTTTAATTAAAATATCGCAGCCAATATTTAATTCAAATTTCAAATGTTGATTTGGCAAAGATAAAATATAAGTGTATAGTTTAGAGTTTAAATTAAGTTATAGTTTTATGTGTTATTGTAAAGTTTAACTTGAAATTTTTTTCTCCAGGCATTTAGACATTCCGGTTTATAAAATCAAATGTTCTTAGAATGATGACAGTTTAATAGGCGAAGGGCTCTGTATTATAATTTAATTATGAAAGTAACATTCCTTTTTCAAAAAACACATTTAATTAAGATACTTTTAGAGTTTTTTTATTTTTTAAAATTTTTTTTATGAAGAAACAATACTGTATGTTTGTTGTGGTTCAGTATCAACTACATAACAACTTTTAAAAGCTAATGGAAAAAAAATTAAGTTTTATGATCTGATTCTATGCATTCAGTTGCTTTTATGATGCATTGATCAGTTTTATTGTAAGAACTATAAATTTTTTTCTACCTTTTTACATTTTTATTTAATTCAATTTAAATTCGTAAATAAAGGAGAGATAGAAATATAAAAAAAATTAAATTTAGTTTTGGATGTATGTTGTGATTAGCTAGTTCTACCATAGTTGTTAAAATACATTTTGAGTTGAGTAGTCGGTTTTTAATCTCTAAATGTTTAAAAATATAACTTTATTTTAAACTCCTTTGTTGAACCTGACTATTCGCGATTGCAACACTCGAATATACCATCTTGGGAGGAGACCAGTTCCATGACTTGACCCTCCCCCTTCCACTTTCCTCCTCTTCCCAGTTCTATATTAATGCACTATGATATTTTCCCCTTTCTTAATATTTTTCGTATTTAATTATTTAAAGCATTTTTACAATTCCTACAACGCTTCCTTTTAGAACTATGTTCAATGTAGTCTTTATTTCCATATAGTTTCGTAACTTAAAAGTTTTTAATCTATTCAAAACTCAAGAAGGAAACCTCCTCTTATGACTCACCACACGCTAATGGTGAAAGAATGCGAAGTGTTTCCATAGGTAGAGATGCCACCGTCACTGCTCTATGCCACCTGTAGCCCATTTCAATCTCCAATAAAAATTATTTTCTTGCTGCATTCAATTTACCTAAGCAAGTTGCAGTAATTTATTACTTATAGTCAATCAACTAATTTAAAGCCAAGGTTTCAAAAAGTTACTATTTGAACTCTTCAAGTATCTCTTTTTGGGCTAAATTAAAAATAAAATTTAACTCTTTTTTTTTTTGAAAACCAAAATTTGTAATTTGGAAAAAAAAATTCATTCTGAAAATCATTAAAAACATGAAACTTATAAAATAATATTTTGTTTCAGATTCATATGGTTTCTCTTTATTATTATGACTTCAGTTCATTTGATGGCCAATTATTTAGCTGTAAAGTCTGTTGTTATGGAAACTTTTAATGAAGACCGTTTCAAAATTTATGTCCATCATTATTTAAGTGAAGGACTGTCGGGGAAAAAATTCTTATCAGTAGATCAAGTCAACAGTAAAGAAAATGTTTTACTAATACATTCCGCTTCATCATCTTGCATTCATTTAGGCGCTTCATTTTCTGAAATTATCCAGAGTAAAAGGTTAGTATTATCTTTGTATTTGTCACTTGTTAAATAACATATCTTTACTCATCATCTTTTACTTTTAAAAACTATCAAACTCATAATTGAGCAACTTAGTTTAGAAAACAAATTGGATCACTTCTATTCTAAACTTTTTTTCATTTTTGTTTTAGATTTCTTGATCTAATGTAGTTTTTTCTTTTTTAGTTTTTTTAACAAACTTAGCTTCTTATGAAACTTAAAAAATCAAGTAATATAAATTTTTACCCCTTGACTCCTTTTTTTTTTTTTATTTGAATTTGAAATAAACAAAAATTGCATTCTTAGATAAATAACAAAGAATACTGATTTTCAATTATTTGAGAATCATCAGGAGTATAACATTTGTTTCCCTTTCTTTTATTCAATTTATAATTTTTGTTAAAATAACTCTTGGTGTCATTTACACTTGCTCCAATTTTTAGTAACTTACATAAGTTTAAAATTGAAAAAAAAAAAAGAAAAAAAAAAAAAAGAATTGGTGTTACTAACATAACACAACATGTTACATCCTTAACAGCCAGTTTTTAATTTCTAAAATTTAATAAAAATTGGAGTAAATGTACATGATACTACATGTTATTTTAACAAATACAGTCAAACTTCTTAACATCTGTAACTCACAGTTTCAATAATTTAAAGTATTGTTGAAACTCCAGCAAAATTTCAGGTTTAACATTGAAATGTTTTTCATTACTCAAAGTTCAATAAGTCCAGTTTTTCGATTATTCGAAGTAATTTTTGTTTTCTGAACATCAATTCTATCTATAAGTCTATTTTTTTAAAGAAAAGATAAAAACATTTCTAATCTATAAAAACTTTCTAAATTTCAAAATAATTCCCAGCTTACAATTCAATGGTAGAACATAACCAGCAACTTTGGGAGGTTGAATTATCTAAATTTCTCTTCATTATTCTGAGAAATCTATTCAAATAGTAAAGAAGAACATGGTTAAATTGTAGGTTTGTTTATTATTTCCCTGAAAAATTCTGAAGACAGGAATGCAAAAGAAGAGATAAAAACATAAAAGAAAAGATAAAAACATTAAAGAAAAGATAAAAACATTAAAGAATAGATAAAAACATTAAAGAAAAGATAAAAACATTAAAGAAAAGATAAAAACATTAAAGAGAAGATAAAAACATTTCTTACATATAAAATTAAATTTCAAAAAGATTCCCAGCTCACAGTGCAGCAGCAGACAGAAACCAGCAATTTTGAGAGGTTAAATTATCCAAATTTCTCTTCTTTATTCTGAAAAAATAGTAAAGGAGAACATGGCTAAATTGTTGGTTTATCTATTATTTCCCTGAAAAATTCTGAAGTCAAAAATGCAAAAGGATCTTTCTCTTTTATATATATTGTTGTATTAGTTTCCAGTGATTGATTCCATTCTGCATTCTTATCTATATTTCCCCCCTTGTTATGCTAGTCATTCAATTGTCATTTCTAGCTGGTAAATTGAAATGTTTGACATTCATTCTCCCAATTTTGATTGAGATGTAAGAAATGCTGCACAACCTTCTAAAAATTAAAAAAAAATGTTATAAGTAATCTACCTCTGGCCAAGTGCGATTGTATCATTCTAATGCATGTTTAGTTAAAGAATTCTAATTTTTGCTTTTCCATAGCTGTTCAGTTTGCTAGTCTTTTGATTAAAAGATTTTAGCATTGATTTTAAACATAGCAAGATGGATTACGAGTACAATTTTTGAAGAATGTCTATCAAAAATTTGCGTGAAAATTTCAAAGTGGAAAAGAGAAATGTTATATTATTCATGGACAACTATCCCACATTTCCTAAAATTACTGAAAATTTTCAGCCTATCAAGCTTGTCTTCTTTCTTACCAACATGACATCAACATGAATCTTCTTTCTATAAATCAAGGTGTTATAAAAAAAGAGTACCCACAAATAACATTTTATTCAGTTTTCGCTAAATAAAATTTTCGACATCTTTAAGTATTTTATGGCTTCTGGTAGCGCTACGATTTATTGAAGTTTCTCTGTATTATTAGAACTGCTTGATTTTACTAAATTGAGTTCTATGCATTTAAAATTATTTATTTTTTGCTCTAAAAATTTGAATGTTACGTGTATTTTTTTTTAAATATGAGATGAAAAATATATTTAGCAATATCCCATGTTGTTATGTTACTTTTATTTTTACTGCTACGCATTTTTTTAAATGTTTAAATTTTTTGCAAATTAAAATATTGTTTTATTGTTTACAACACAAATTTTGAGGAAATTAAAAATTTATTTTTTGAGTTCTGAACAAGAAATTTGAAATCTTTACATAACTTTTTAATTTAATCATAAATTATTTAGTCAATAATAGGCACAACTATAATTTTACAGTTTTAAATTTAAACAACATGTTGGAAAAAAATTATTGTTTATAAAAATTTAAGTGCTGGGAAAATATAAGTTCTTCAACTGTACTATTTAAATTTACATTTTTTAACTCTACAATGCATTTTACTCATTGAGTCATTTTCTTTTTCAAACTAGATAACTAGATATCTCATTTTCTTATCTAGATAAGTGTATTGATTTGGTAATTCTTTAAAGTACTCCATCTAACATATGCTCAAATACCATTTTATTAAAATTCAACACAAAGAGTTACTGTGGTCTTATTGAATATTTTAACTTCAGAAATGTTTTAATTTCTTAGTAAAAAATCTCAAAAATAAGTGTAAAAATCACAAAAAGGTTTCACATTCATTCAATTTCTGATGAATTTATTCTATATAAATAATTGAATAAACTAATTCTATTAAAATGTTTTTCTTTCTTGAATTTTAAATAGGCATGAAGATATATGTCAACTAATGAATATTTATAAATCATGTAACTATATTTTAAGTTATTCACGAAGAAATATGAAAGGTGAGTAGACTGTTTCATAATTTTAAACCATTTGCTATTCCCTTAAGGAATAAGACTTTAAAAGATTCAAATATTTTATGCTTTAATTTATTTTTGTTTCATTTCCCCCCCCCCCCCCCNCCCCCCCCCCCCCCTTCAAGTTCTCTAAGAAAGAAAAAAAGCTTTGTTAATAAAACCAAATTTCACTATTAATTTTCTATTTCACTAAATCTGTCCTTATAAACAAGTGAAAAGTTGGTTCGTAACATATTTGCTTATTTTGTTTTTAATGCTTATACTAACTTTAATAACCATTAAAAATTACATAAATTAAAAGTTACCTTTATAGAATGTGTTATGCACATGCCTTTAGAAACTAAGTATAGAACTTATCACTACAAACTATTTGGGACTCTATTTAAGTGTACTGTTAATATTTTATTTATAAAAAGAATTGGAAGATGGAGCCAAATTCAACTCAGTATGGATGGGACAGTTTCTGAATTTCAAATTCCAATAATTCTTTTAGTTACATTCTTCTTTCATCGATGCATATAAACTTATCATATTTTGTTATCATTAAAAAATTTATCTGTCTACTTAAGTGTGTAAATTTAAATATGAAAGGTCAGATATCCCTTTAAGTCACATTATCACTGTCTTAATGTGAATAAAGAAACATTTATGTGTAGGACAGAAAATTGATAAAGTATTTTCAAATAAATGGGTTAGAGCCTATTGGTATTGTAAGATGTGGCCTATACAGTGATTACATTTCTACATGAGTGTCACAAAAGAATTCAGCAATCACTGTGGACTTATTCAAAAATAAATATTAATAAAATATATTTTGGAATAGAAAACTGATGTCATATTGTTTGTTTGCCTAGAAAAGATCAATGATTCATTTTTAATTATTAATTTTGTATTAAACTATGGCGTGATAAGTCTAGTTTTAACTCATTGGATGAACTATAGAATGTAGGACATCATCTATGAAGGTTTAACAAATTCTGATTTGTTGCTTGTAAATAAGTAAATCAGAGCAATATATTTGTTTCTCGCTTTCCCTTATTTGTATTTTCTCTGTACATTATTATTTTTTCAAATTGTTACAGAATCAGAAGATAGTATCTTTTCATTACATGCATTGATCCAATTTCTCTAACTAGTCGCTCTCTTTTAAATTTCTTTTTCATTTATTTATCAAAGTTAATTACATTATATTCAACTCTGAATCATTTTTTAATTCTGATAAATATTTACAGTCATGTAATTAATTAATCATCAACTTAGTAAAGATCTAGGCAAAAAAGTATAGAAGCAGAGTTTAAGTGTTTACTGTTGTTTGCCCCTTGCCTAAACACTTTCCATGATTTTCAAGTCCCCAGTATAAAAATTACATCGATGAAAATGCTCTGACTCATTTAATCAACACTCCTTAGAAAAAGAAATTGCAGGAGTATGCTTCTGTCATAATTTGGGTTTTTGTACTTAAAAGTCTTTATTTTTTCTTAATAAAGGCTGAAAACAGTTTGGACAACAAGAAAAAAAAAGTGCATTGGGGCTTATGTAATAATAATTAAAAATTTCAGCAATGTTTCTTACCGTTACAACCTTTCTATAAAAAATGCATTAAATACTGATTAAACTCTCCTTTAACATTTGACAAAAATCTTTCGAATGTTGGGGTGCAGGGATAATTATAAGCAAGGTAAAATTATCTTTGTAAGAAAATTGGTCATGTTGAAGAGTAGATGTTAATGAATTTAATAAAATATAATTATATTAAAAGCTAATACTATATTGAACAAAATAAAATAGAATTAAGCAATTAAAATAAATAAATTGTATTTAAACATCATAATGTCATTTAAATTTCCCTCTGATCTTATTTCCTAAATATAACTATCAGTTCAAATGTTATTGGCAAAAAGGTAAAAATTTTATTACAATTAATAAGCCCGAAGAAATGCAAGTTAAGGAAGGATAGACTAATTTCTGTATTACTATGAGGTCATAAAAGTTTTACAGCAATTAATGAGTTAAAATTTTATAACAATTAATGAGCCCAAAGAACTTATATAAGTTAGAGAAATATAGACTAATTTCTGTATTACTATGAAGCTCATAAAGGTTAGATAATGTGTACTCCAATCCCTTACATATGCTAGTTTTTCTTCTTCAATTCTAAAAGGAAGCTATACATACCTCTCTCCTATTCATATCTTCTGCTCTTCTCTCAATTTTTAAAATTCCTTCTCTGCTTGTAGTTTGAGCAAGCATTATCTGGCTTCAACTTCATTTGGTTGTTATAGGAAAATATGCTCTGGAATATATTTTCTTAATCTTTTCAAATACAAGATAAATGAGTAGAAATACCTGATGGGGTTAAAATGTTGGAAGATGGGGATCCTTGTGGGGGAGCAATAGTTCCCTGATGAACCATATTATATAATATATATCAAAGAAGCACGTGAGCTTATTTGATATATATTGGATACATGGAACTATTGATGAGGGTCTAATCACATTCGAAACTTGTTTGTCATTTTGCAGTACTTATTTAAATATACTGAACTTTGGTTAAAAATCAATTCTATGAAATTTTTAGACTATTGCCTTAAAAGTCTAAAAAATTTTAATCTTCGTATTAAAATACAACATTGTTAGTGTAATCTATTAATTCGATACTACTTGTCATTTGTTAAGTTATAAGACTGTAAATAAAAGTTAATAATCAAAATAACTTAGTATTTTGTGTGTATTAAAGTTTAGTTGTCAGTAATTCAAGAATGAAGATTGTTTTTATATTTATTGTTGAAATTCATATTGAAGAAATAAGTTTTATTTAAAACAATGTCTTCTCTCTAATTATGCACTAAATTTATTTTAATTAAAATTGAATAAAAAGTAAATATATAGTACCAAAATATCTCATCTACTCTTTATTAAATAGCAAAATATAAAAATTTTATGTTTTTTATTATCATCATTGCCTTTTTGAAGACGTATGTAAAATAAAAAAATAACAAGTAGGGCAATATCTGTATATATTTTCAAATAATCAAATTCATTTTTATGAGTAATGCTCTATAATTTTAACTCACTTAGCATAATGAAAAAAAAAGGTTTTGTTCATTCCTTTTGTTAATATATTGACTATTAGTATATTTTTTTAAAATGAAAATACTTCCACAAACTTGTTAAGTATTTTTATGTTAAACATGATTGTTTATAAGTTTTTAACTAGGTTTGTTTAGAAGATTTTTTAGAGTTATAGCTACATTTTTTTTTGTCAACTTAGTTTATTTGTGGTTTACAAAAGAGAGTAATTAATTCTTCTTTTTGAGTTGTAAGAATAAATTGTGAAGTAAGCAGTTAATAAGATAATTCTAAAAAAAATATTATTAATAATTTTCTTAAGAAATAGCATAATAATACAAATTTTACTTCATCTAGAAAAATAAAGTACACTGAGAGAAGTTCAGTTTAAAAATATGAGATAAAAAAATATCTTATAACAAATGTTGTAATTTTTTTTTAAATAAATGTTTCTTTTCATAATTATTACTTATAATTGACTTTGATTGCATATGCTTATAATTATTAACATTTTTCATTACTGATACTTAAACTTGAAATACGAGTAATGATTTTAACATATTTTATTATATCTATTTTTAATTTTATGCTATTAGGTTAAAATCATATCAATTATTGACTTTAAGAACAATCAATTATTGTTATAGTTTTCTTGTTTCTAATATAATTTATTGTTTAAAATGTCTTCATGAAATTTTACTTTTTTTATATTTTTTAGACTTGATATCCATAGTTTTAAATAAAAGAGCAACAACTGAGACTCAAATTGAAGCATTATTTCAAGCTTGTTATATATCTCACTTAATACAACAGAAATCACCACTTTTTGTGAGTAACCATTTTAAAAATTTTCATTTAATATTATAAGCTTGAAAAAACAAAGTGACTGATGTTTTCACATTTGCAAGAAGACCCAGTTAAAATTTTTAAATCACATTTTCTCTTGCATATACGTTTTTAATAAATTATATTTAATCAAGCTCAAGTTTTTAGAATTGTCTTTTGAAAATATATGCTATGAAAATATCAAATTTAATTTGACTCACAGAAAATGTCAGTTATATTATTTTCAGCCCATGTATGCTTGCTTTTTTGTTAATCTTAGATTCTTGTTATATTCTTTGATATCAATTGCAGAACACTTCCTAATTGATTCGGTTAATAGTGCTAATTCACCACTTGCCTACAATGACTGTTTTAATTTCAAGGGAAGTAAACATCTGTAAAATTTTTATTGAAATGAAACAAACCTTGTAGCATGGTCGCAAACATAGGATGGGGAAAAATCTTTCAGCAACTCTTCGGTATTTGGATTAAGATATGACTCTTCAAAATTTTAGTTTATATAATGTTAAGTAACAAAATCATATGGAAAATGTACAGTGCGCCACAAAAAACGGACCATCCTGAATAACTTTTGATCTAATGATCGGATCTTCACATTCTAAGACTCAATCTTAATGGTTCGAGGCGGTGACTGAAAACATACTAATTAATTAGTTCAGATGATATTTTAAGTAACAAAATCAGATACAAAACTTACTTTCTCTGAATAAATATATGACCACAGTGCTAATGCAAAACATCCTCAGAGGTATCATGTTAGTGGTCAGATCATGGATTAGAGTCCCCTTGCCGTCAGGTTAACTCTGGGAGGTTTTCTTCTCCATGTAGCACAACTGCAGGTTAGTTCCATCAAAAAGTCCTCCATGAAGGCAAATTTCCCCCAATACTTGATCCAGGAGTTCCCTTGTCTTCTTGATTGGGTTTAAATTACAAGGCTATGGAGTTGAACACAAGTAGTTGTTAACACAAAAAATTAGACTGGCTGTTCAGCGACGTTTGTAAAATAAAAAATAATCGGCTGTTGTAGGAATGGTTTACTTTATATTTCTGCTATGTTTCCTCCTCGAAGTATCCTCACTATCATAAATATCTACTTTATATCCCTGTGTATAATTCAACCCACTATCTTCGATTTCAAGATGGTGAATTTCAGGTGATGGAAAGACAAAAAAACTCTTACAAAAAAAAAAAAAGGAAACACGCTGCTTCTGTAGAAGTCTGAAAAAATGTAAATTCAAATGTTATTGTAAAATATTTTAAAAAGTGTGGAGTTAGGAATTCTTTAGATGGGGTGAAGAGAATTTTTGAGAAACTTAGCAGGTGAAGATGAAGTAGAATTCATAGCAGAGTGAGATCCCTATAACAACACTGTTAAGATTATTGAATCCAATGCAGATGATGTTCTGGAATCTTTAAATTGGTAGTTTTAAAATTTTTCATTGTGTCATATTTTTTTTAAAATACTTTTGAATAAATTAGCTTAACTTTTCTTATTTTTAATTTTCTCTGAATGTAATTGAAAGTATTTTTTCTAAAGCAAAACCTTTGTATGTAAAGATAATATGATGATAGACAATGCAAAATATATTGTATTAAAAAATCTTTAAAATGGATAAATTCTGGCAGAGTTATTCGTATCTATCTCATTGTTTATAGTGGGTCATTAATGACTGTCTAACTTTTACCCTTTTATAAGTGGATCCCTGACTGAAGTCTACTTATACGAGGCCTGTCTAAAAAGTATCCGACCTTTGGCCGGAAAAAATATATCGAATACCTGACGGAGTTGGGACCCTAATCCCCTTAAAAGTAGGCCCCTTGTGATTGCACACACTTAACCCACCGATCCTTCCACTGCTGGAAACACCTCTGGAAGTCTTCTTTTGGAATGGTGTTCAGCTCCGTCGTCGCGTTCAGCATTATCTCTTCTCTACTCTCAAAACTGGATCCTTTCAGTGGAGTCTTCAATTTTGGATACAACCAGAAGTCGCAAGGAGCCAGGTCTGGAGAGTAGAGAGGTTGGCGAACGGTTGTAATTCCATGTTTGGCTAAGAAAGTGTGGATCAATTGGGATGAATGTGCAGAGGCGTGCTTTTTGTTCCGGCGACAACAACTTGGGTACGAATTTTGCAGCCACTCGGTTCATGTTCAAATCTTCACGCAAAATTGCATGTGCAGAATCTTTACTCACTCCAACCTCTTCTGCAATCTCCCGCACTGTCAAACGATGATCTGCCATCAACAAATTTCGCAACCTCTCAACATTAACTGTACTCTGAGCAGTTTGAGGCCTGCCACAACGTTGCTCACTCTCCGCTGATGTGCGGCCATCTTTGAATCGGTTAAACCACTCCTTAATTTGTGTTACACCCATCGCTTCTTCTCCAAACACCTGCTGAATCTTACGAATTGTTTGGCTTTGAGAATCACCAAGCTTTTGACAGAATTTGATGCAGTATCTTTGCTCAATTCGTTCAGTCATCTTGCGCGAAAACTAAATCCGACGAACACTACGAACAGCACCTTACTTGGCGACCACCAGCCAGCGAGTTGCACAAGCGAACACGGTGAAAAAATTCAGTCATGTGCATTAAGGTTCCTCCTTCCACTGTGCACTTAGGCGCCGCCTTAGAGTCACTACTTTGCGCAGGAAAAATTAAGGTCGGATACTTTTTAGACAGGCCTCGTACACTTGGATGTATGGTATATTAATATAAGTTTTCAATTTAATATATTTTAACATTAAATTAAAAATGAACTTTCTATAATTATTACGAGAGTTTCAAAGCATTTATATTAAAAAAGTACTGACTGAATCTGATATTGAGATCAAACTTAACTTCGTGCCCAATTTCCTATCATTACCAATTCTCTTTCCAATCAAATCACAATGTCAAAATGAGTATATGATTTACCAATAATGTGTGTGTTTGTGTCAAAATGTGTATATGATTTATCTTTGACCATTTTCATGAATTAATCTCAAAACATCTTCATGGCAATTATAAGTGTATATTTTATTCTGTCATTAGTTTACAATTTTTGTGTTTACATATGCAACCTAGAAATGCAATTATATTGTTAATAATTTTTTTTAATATTATTTTTCATATCTTCCATGGATGATGAAAATAGAAAAGTAAGTTTTTTTTGCTTTATATGTATATACTATTCTCCTCTCATGAATCATTTGTTCTTCTAAATTAATTTAAAATCTACATCAATGAATATGGTTCAAATTAAGAGAATTTCTTTTACTTTGCATACATAATTCATATAATTCTTTTTCCATCAATTTCAATTCAAATCATTGAAATATTTCTTTTTTTTAATAGTTTCTTGTGAATAGAATTTTTAACCAACTTCTGACATAGCATACACAGGATCGAAGGAAAATGTGAGGCATGCGTAATATCAAAAATCATGATGCAAAAATCATCAAAAATTTAGAACATTTTTAATATTATTTGAATGTATTCATCAACTAATGTTCCTTAGAGAAGCTCTTAAAATTTATACAAAATGAATGTAATTGAAAATTCTAATGCTTTAAATAGGATTCTAAGGATTATTCTAAATAGCACTTTTTTAAAATTTTTAGACTATACCCTTTTACATCATCTTATATTCTCAATAATATCTAAGGCTAATAAATCACTATTTCGAAAGAACAAGTATTCGCTCGTTCATGTAACGAGATAAAATTTTCTAACTTTCCTTCCGTTTAATTAAAATTTAGTCTTATTATATTATTATTAGCAGTACTTTATTGACGTGAGAAATGCTTAATAAATTTGTTATTTATTCTGCAGTTTTAAAAAGTTATAATGTTCAATATGCACAAATGTTTCAGTAATATTGTACTTAAATACAAATTAGAAACATAGAAGTATTTTTTGCCCTTAAAAGATCATTTTAATGCAGAAAAGTAAGAAAAACTTTGGTGAGCAAATAGCCTACCACTTGGCAGTTGTATCATACAAAAGTTAGATCATTAGTTAATGAGAACAATTTTACAGTTCTTACCAATTTCTAAAAGAATTGGATAAAATTCTTTGATTTTTCCCTCAGGGTGCGTAGCCAAATCTTTGAATCAAAAATAAGCACTTTTTAAAAAATTTTCAAGCACTCAAAAAATTCATATTCAATCAATGATATTATTGAAAAACAAAAACTTTTTATAAACAGTTTTAGCGTTAAAAAAAACGAAAAGAAACGGGCGTAAATCGAAATAATCAGTACTTTCCCACATCACCGAGTGAATTCAACTTGACCCTGAACTCAGAACAAAAGTACCCTTACCCCCTACGTCAAAAAAAGTGTTAGAAGTAAAATAAAATAAACAAGAACAAAATTAAAATAAATTAAAAAGAAAAACTTTTCATAAGGATCTGATATTCTCTATCCGAATTGGAGCACTCGAGTTTCGGTTTCAAGTGTGCGCGCATGCGCAAGTCATAACGTGGGTACGACATGAAGTCCGCATGAATGATTACATAGCAAACTCCCCATTTTTCGTGAAATGCATGGGATCCACCAGATATCACTGAAGGGGAAAAAAAGCACTTTTTAAAAACGCCAGCTGAAAAAAACACCTTTAAAAGCTTTTAAAAACGAAATCCCCCAAAAAGCAACTTTGAGTACTTTTTACAAATGCTACGCACCCTGTCCCTGTCATGACCAGATCTTTTACCCTAGTCGCTAAGTAATGGACTTGTCTTGAAAAGATTTTTTAAAATCTGATTCCTAAAGATTTTTTAAAATGGCTGGTTCAAGGCATATTGGACTTTTTCTAAAACAAATCTAAATATCTACCATTTGAATTATTATAAAGATATATAAATTGAAAGATATCAATATGTTAGTGTAACTACAAACTGAGAAATATCATGTAGTTGAATAATTTTCCTTATTTTTAAAATTGTTTTATATAGTTTTCGAGCAAATGTGTATAACTAATATTTTTGTTATTGTGTTTTAATAGGTGATGATTCCGCTGTTTCTTTAGAAGCCCTATCTAGAGAATTTACAGAAAATATGTTTCAAGATTTTATGTATAGCTTGCAGATGATGAATTTTAACACGAAGACTGTACTTTTCAATTGTAACCTTTGGCGAGCTGACTGGTGAAAATATTTTGTTTTAGATTATTGAAAAAATTTATTTTTATATTTTTTAAATTTTTATGAAAATAAAGTTGCTATTTTTATTTTCTCATTACATATCTTGTTTTGTTTATTATCAGAGAGTTTTTTTTTTTAAACTATGGGAGCTTAGGTCATGCTAAAACCCTCAACACTTAACCCATACAACAGGATGGTTCCTAAACTGGAACTATCAAATTTTACTATTTCTGCTAGCATTATTCAATTAAATAAAAAAAATGTTGGATCAAAAATGTAAACTTTTGGATCGTCAAATTTATTTTTTAAAAATTGTCATTTGTATTCTTGCCAAATGCGGTATTCTAAACACTCACAAAATTCAAGAATATCGAGACAAAAAGAAAAAAATCAGGATTATCGGGACAATAAGCAAAAAATAATAAAAATAGGGACAAAATATTTTTTAGCAGAAAAATCAGGACAACTACGAACCCTGAGAACTGTATGGTTTGATTAAGTTTCAGTTATGATTTATTAATATACTAATTAAATATTCTGTAAATATTACTGATGTAAATTATAAAACAACTAGAAGGTTAACATAAATGCTTGGAATATGAAAGTTAAATATTTTAAATTTATATAATAGAGGGCTTAATTTTGATTACTTCATAAATATGTTTTTAGGTAGACTGAGGCAGTTTCTTCCACAAAATAAGAATTGCATTACAATTTATTTCTTAAATGTTAAACACTAGGCTTTATTCTATGTTTTGGTGAATTAAAATTCTTTCTTAAAGGATACATGTGACACAATAAAATTGCGATTTATTAGAAGTTTTTAAACAGTTTATAGGAAAACAAATTTATAAATTTTTTTTTTGTACTGACATATACATTAAAATAAACAATCATTTCATTTTATTATAGGTCTTCATAAATTTTTTTGGAGGTACCAAATCATTTTTTAATCCACATCGTTTTTTTGTCCGGGTTTTGATATCACCATTTTCTTCACTGTCATTTTTAATGTCTGGTGCAGTGTTTTGAATAGGATTGCAATGAGAAAACTTGCAAGATTCACCAAGCTTACATTTACCTTTAAAAAATTTATAGCAAGGCTTTACTTGAAGTTGCATCACCTCTTTATTAGTTGTCATTTTGACATGCTTTTCAAGAATAGAATTTTCATAGCTTTCTATTTCTTTATATGGATTTGTAAATACAGAGTGAGGAATTTCTTTGGAAGTTTGATTTAACATCTCCGTTGCAGGGGCTAACCGATCATCATCATTTGGTGTACTGAAAGATAAGTTCAAAATATTAAAATCAATTGGCAAAAAAAGAAAATATGTAATAAAGAAACAATCGAGATTTAATTATTTTAATATCTTTATTTCAACATATTAAAAATTAGTTTTTTTTTAATAACTAACTTTTCTTATAATTTAACATTTATTGTTAAATTATAAGAAAATTATTCTTGTTTATTATGACTTCTGTTAGCACTTAATATTTGTTCTCAAAAAGTGATCTAGAGGTTCTCATTATATTTGAATAAACCTGATCAAAGATTTAACTTTAAATCACTTAACGTCATATTTTGTACTATAGAATGAATTTTGCTAACTGTAAAAACGCTAAAAAATTTTGGATCTAACAATCAGATTTTAAAATAAAATTTAAGAGTTTTGGAGTGGTTCTCCTGTGATATCCTAGTTAGTTGAAAAAAAAAAAAAAAACATTTAAATGTGTTTATCAAGCACAAAAATACCCTTTTTCTTCTTAATAGCTTTGGATTTTTGATACTCAAGTTGCAAGGAGTTAACATAATTTGGAAGATATGGTAGAAATATACAATAGTTTATAGCAAGGGCATACCAAAGAGATGAGGAACAAACAATCTAATGTTTCCTGAATTAAAAGTACAACCTGCTACCCATGAAAGCAATCTGAACAAAATAAAAAAAAAAAATGGAATTTTTTTTTGTAAAATAAAAGAAAGTTTGGAAATTTAAAATTGTGCATTTAAGTTTTTGATGAACCTTATCTCAACTAATGTAGTTCTTCAATCAATTTTTTTTATGGTTAACGGTACGGATTTAAGCATAGTTTTGAAAATACCTATATTTTTAATACAACATTATTATGATACACGAATTTTGAACTTTGGTTATCACTTTCGACACTCTTCGTGTGTGCCGATTTCGTCGTAAATCCAACGACTTTTTGGTAGCTAACAGTTTCTAATTTTAAACATTTAGAAGTATTTAATTTTATGTCAACATATTACAAGGTTAACTGATAAAAAGAATTTAGTGCCTATAACAATTACTACCTACAACTGTGGTCAACATGTTTGTCTAAATACTTTGGCATGCCGACCTTTGTTGGTCAATCTGCTGCGCATGTGGCCATTCACTCAAATAGGTTGTGCACCCCTAATGTAAATATACTGATTTCCTTGGTATCAATATCAGTTCCTCACCATTTCTCTATAGTGCATAGAAATACATTTTACCATGATTTGCCTGTTTTAGCCACTGGAGATTTTTTTTCTCCTGTTTTTTATTTTTTACTCCCTCGGCTACAGTAGTTTTTCTAGCTTTGTTTCCCAACTTTCAAATTCAATTTTTCTGTAGAAACTTTTCTGTCCTTGAGCGCTTGAAAAATGCTGAGTTTTGTTTCCTATTTATATATCCGTAAAGGGAATGAAGTTTTTAATCAAATATCATTTCATAAATTTTAAACAAAATCTTACCATTTCAGTTTCTTGGGATTTTTATTTAATAGATCTATATAATTTTTAATGGGGCACTTGTAGATCAAACTTTTCACAGCACCACACAGGAAAAAATCTAAACATGAAAGATCAAAAGATCTTGTTTGCCAAGGTTTGAGACCACCTCTACCAATTTTTTTCACTGGGAACGTTGCATCTAAAATGTTTGGCACAACCAAATTAAAGTGCGCACGAGGGCCCACCATTGTGCTGGAACCATATCTTTATCCTGATAGGGGTTGGATTCAGCAGCATTAGCTTTAGAAACATTTCTCATATGAATATGTTATACGATTTGTTAACCAGTGTTGTAGGAGGTATGGGACAATCAAATGGTCATGAACGATCCCTGCCGAAATATTTACAGAGAACCGCAGTTGAAACAAATGAGGATGCGTGGCATGCAGGTTCATAGTATTAAAAATGCCCTCACGTGTGAAAGTGCACTCATCCGTAAACAGAGCATGTGTTTGAAATTTAGCATCATCGCATGTTGCTAGAGAAACCAATGTACAAAATCAACACATGGCCGATTCTGCCTCGGTTACAATGCTTGTACCTTCTGTATACAATAGGGGTGTATTCCTTCCTCATGTAGCACATACCAAGAACACATTTACAGTATGTGTTATAACTCATGTGATACATCGCGGTTGTTCAACCACCCTACCTAGAATGTCTTCTAAAACGTGCAGTGTCCTGACATTCTTTTTACAGCCGGTGTCTTGCTTGGACTCAGCGAAGGATACCTTTTCAGACAGTTGCCAATGAAAACTCTTGAATCTTTTTTTATCTGGAGTGTGTCTCATCGGAAACCATTCCCGTTAAAGTTTCCTCGCCTTATTCCGCTGCACCATACACGAAATCGCATATCTGCCTATTCATGTTTCTTATAACCAGCTATCATCTTAACAATCCACGTTAAACATGCCCACTGGATGTGAGGACATACCTTCTTATATAATTTACAATGCCACCAGGTTGCTCGCCCATACTTTCTTAGAGAAATATTGCTCATGAAAAAAACATTTGTCAGATAGTAAACTTTTACTATCTTGCTTGGTCTCACCCTGCATAAAATATTTTTGAAAGTGAAAAAATGAATTTAAAAGCGGTTTATAGGAATGTTTCCATTTGGGTACTCGTTCACAACAACTGCAAATGCCTATTTGTTAAAATGCTTTAGTACTTGTAAAAAAATTAAAAAGAACATGTAGTTTCTCTGGGGAAGGTATTTTCATATTGCGCCAGCTATTGACACACACAAAAAAAGAGAATGTGTAGTTGTTTGTTAGTATGTGTTATATGAATTGGTCTCCTTCAGAAATTCTTTTTTAATTTCCTGCAAACCACTTTCTGAAAATCACCAAAAATGGACAAATATTCTGATGCAGATACCAAAATAGAAATCTTTATCATTGAACTCCTTGCAAGAAATTTCAACTAGGCCCTGAGACAATTGTCAATGTCTCCTTTCTTGTGTTAAAGGTCCAATAAATCATTTCAGGCAAATAAGTTTTTAAATTTTTTGGCGAAAAAATGCAATACAAATTGAGAAGATTTCCGTATTGGCATATGTGGCAAAAACAGCTGCTAATTATCCGCAAAAAAAAAAAAAAATCCCAGTAGGGGATTACCTCAAAGGGTGTAACTCATAGCCATTCCAGCTTTACTACCATTTTCCTTTAAGTTTTTGCAAATGTTAAGTATTTTTGCCGTGTTAGAAATTGTAGTTGGCACAAACAAATATCAATATGGAAATATCCCCAGAATATAAATTTAAAAATATGAAATAGAAGTTATTTACTTCGCTGGAGATGCAATTGAATTTTCATCTTCACTAGAAGAATCATAATCAGCAACCAATGATTTAGAATTTAACTCCATGTCTTTTATACTCGCTTATATTTAAAAAAAAGATAAGTAATTTAGGCTACTAGCATCATTCTGAATCAAATAAGAACACTGAATACTAATTTGATAAGAGTCATGATTTGGACACTGAAATATAATACTGAGCGCAATATTTCAGATATTTATATTTTCTGACAAAGTGTTTTGCTACCAAAATCAGAAGCTTGATATGAAGATTTAAAGTCAAAATAATATGAGATTCTTAGTCAAAATAATATGAGATTCAGTAATCATCATTTCTTACAGAAAGCAATATACACTTTAGCCTAATATTATTATTTAATTCTTAGTTTGTTTATTTAAGGGTGATTTTTACTGCATGTAATCCACGCACCTCCGATATACCCGTACTAATCAGGGTCATCGTCCTGAATCGCATGCAGTGAAAATATTTCAAAAGTTTAAATAGACCAATCGAATTTCGCTATTCACGCTTGCGTAAAACAGTCGCAACGCAGCACAAAAGATAATTAACGCAGACTCAAACCCTGTGCTCAAACTAAATCCATTAGCTTTAGCTTGTCTTTTGTTTATGTAATTGGCCTGGCGACAGGGTAAACGATATTTTTAACAAAAATTAGAAAAAAAGGTAATATGTTTTGTGTTATCGTAGATATTTTATCATCAGAAGCTAAATTTGTTCTGTTTTTTGGTGTATTTGTCTGATAATTTAATCTGTTTGAAAATGGTAATCTAGTGAATGAGATTAAAAACGATTTCTTGAAAAAAATATTTCTATAGCTTCAGATTATTTAAATTCTATTACATCTTTGACTTGGTTATGCATTTTTTAAAAATAAAATGTGGTCTCTTATAAAGTAATATTTATAGTTAATTACAGAGAATTTCTATTAGGTATTTATTAATTGCTGGAAATTATCTATGGACTTGTGTAACGTTTTCCATCAATTAATCACTTAAAAATTCTCTACTGAACTGTATTATAATAATTTATTGCTTTGGGCTTCTATATTTTGTCGAAAATTGCAAGCCCATTTAGAGTTATGTCTCTCTATTATAGCCGTTACTAATAATATTAAAACTTACTAATAATATTATTAATAGCAGAGGTTACCTTTTTAGTCACTAAGTTTGCGAAAAAATGTAAGAAGTTAATATTTAATGTTTTCAGTTTATTAATAAAATGTCTGTCTTGAATTAGCTTATTCAGTTCATAAAATAATTTATTAAAGTTGATTCTAGCGAAAATAAACAATCGTTTTGAAAATATAGATATAATTAGCTTTGTAGCTATTCTCATTTTTAAATATTAAAAGAAGAGTTATTAATCTACCTTCAAAACGCGACCACTACTATTGCCAAGAAATATGTAGAATTTGCCCTAACTTATATTGAATTACCATGTGTTCTATATTTGTTGTCTCATGGTGTCTCAGTCTTACCTTAAAAAGTGTTAGAAAGTTGAGTAAATTAGATATAAAGGCTATTTCTGAATTGATGTATGTCCAATTCTAATTGCCAAGATGCTGAAGGGCTTTTGAACTTACAAAAAATTTAGGAAATGAACAAAATCGTTTGTTCAGAGGTGGCTACCAGATATAGTCTTAAAATTAAGGCCTTTGTGTATTTTTTATTTATTTTGTTTCTTCACTGCTACTGCCTGGAAGTTAAACTTGAGAATCATTGTGATGCAGATTTTCTTAATACAGAAATCTACCTTTATTACCTATATGATATTTTATTTAAAGAAAATATTGTTCAGGTAATGTTAGATTTTTACAAATATAATCAGCTTGTAAACTTCTTTTGCTATCTTTCCCAACTGAGTATCATTAAAGAGCTCATTAGTTTTTAGATGTTGCTAATTTTGAAAATATATAGAAATCAATAATTATATTTGATTCAATTGTAGTTATCTTAAAATTGTTCATTCATTTTATAGAATTGAAGAATTAAATCTTTCAAAAATTATAGAAAAGAGATAGAAAAATTAGGAAGGCAGGTTTTTTTTATTTATATATAGGGGTTGATCAACATAGAAATTTCTCGCTTCAGAATTCAAGTTCATAAAATTGGTCATTTTATAAAACCACTAGTAATTGTTTTTTTCTGAGCTTAAAATGATTTTTTTATTAAATTTGAAATTAAGTGAATATTTCTTACATAATTTTTTACGTGATTTAGAAATTTTCTTAATATTTTTTTTTACTACAAAAATAGACCTCTTAAAAGTTATAACCACACCAGGCTGATATCAAAATAAAAAATATGTATGTATCCAGACTTAAATAAAATGAACTACTTTCTGTGAATGCAAAATTTCAATTAAGAAGCCTTATGCTTACATTGTTAAACTCGTGTAACTAATTTCAATCTTTTCGGCGCCACCTCACTTTGGAAAAACGAGTTTGAAATTTTTAATTTTTATAGAATTTTATGTTGATTTATACCTCAGGGGTGAGTTTGAAGGGTAAAAAGGCTGAAAATGGTTTGATTTTGAAATCCCGTAAAATCTCTATATTCGATTTTAAAATCGGGATTATGAATCTTGATGTCTGACTTTAAAATCATGTGAATGAGAATCTCCATGTTTAATTTTGAAATTATATTATTAGGAATACTAATGTCAATCGAACATGAATCATAATAGCAGGTTTTAAATATCGTGAATAAAAAACTTGATATTTGATATAATCTTAAAAATGCGAAATGCTATGTGCAATCTTAAATTGCATAAATAAGAATTGGAGTGTGTGATCTTAAATCATGTGTAGGTTATTTTAAATTACGTTTATATTCGTAGGAAAAAGTCTAAAAATGAATCTTTTTCCCCTTGAGAATTTGAAAACGACAAACTTTCTTGGAAGAAGTGAATATTTCTTCTTTTTTAGTAATAGAAATCCGCACTGGTGATAAATTTTTCTGCGAAGCGTGTTCATATACATTATACGGGCCTGTATATAGCAATCAAAGAAAATATGATTTTTTTTTTCTGTTTTATACCATTGACAAAATCATTCTAAATTTATTTTACTTGTGTTGAAAGCAGGGTTGGCTGGTTTCTAACAGGATAATTAAATCTAAGGGTTAAAACTGGCATGGTAGAAACTCAAAAAATTACATTAGTAATTATTGGTATCTAATAGATATTGAATAAGGAAAAACAATTAGATTTTAACCAAAGTTCAATGATACTTAGGTTAAAATCTTGCTATGAAGTTATGATATTAAAACCATTCAAAATTATTATTTTATTGTTTGCACTCTGGAGTAGTGTATAACAAAAACAGTTGTGGTGCTGTTTCTAAACCTAAACAATTTTTATATTTATTATTCACAAATAAGAAATTTGAGATGTTCTCTACTTCAGCAGATCAATCAAAGAACAAGCAACTTTTGTGAAACTTTCATCTAATCTATTGTACATTATTTTAAACTGAGCCTCCAGTTGTTAAACTACCTACCACCAGCTCAGGTAGTTGTGATAACTTGGATTTGAAAAGTATGTTTCAGAAAATAGTGGTAGATTTATTGAGTAAAGTTATGACATAAAATAAATCTAGGTAAATATTGATATGTAAATTTCTGTTACTTTCATCTTTAGTGTGTGATGATTTTAACTCTTTCATTCCGGTAGGGTCTGAGATTTTGAGTTCCCCTGTTACGGCAGTTTTCAGAAGGAAAGTTTTTCACTTGAACTCGACCACGGTTCCCACCCAGTGAGATAAGTAAAAGGGGTGTAAATGATTCTCCTTTCTCTTCATTGAAACTCAGTCAAGTGGGGGGAAAATGCATGCAGCAACAAATTGTTGGATAAGTTTAAAACACCCCATTTACCAAAACGTTAGTTCAGCACTTTTTTGGCGACGAATAACTAGAATTGTAAAAGTTTCCTTCCTTCTTTTTTTTTTCTTTTCACATCTTTTCTATTGTTTTTTTTTTACTCGATTTTTTTCACAAAATCATAAAATGTAAAAAGTTTAGATAAAAATTGCTCTTCAATAAATTTTTTATTACATTGCATTATTTCAAAGAATTCCTGAATAATTAATTTAGCTTTAAATAATATGTATACCATACCTCACAAATTTCTCTGTTTTACTTCTTTACTCAAATTTTATTTAACTTAAAAATAATTTGAATAATCTATTATTTTTTATTAAATGGAGATTTTTATTAAATAGTTTTTTAATAGTATATTGCATTAAATTTTTCAGAATCTTAAAGATTAAATTATAAAATTTTGCTCAATCTTAAAGATTAAAGTTTAAAGATTAATATTTTGCAGAATCTGAACAATTTAGCTATCTTAGTTTTATAAATGAGAATACCCATGGCTCGAAATGATCAGTTGAACAGTCCCCAAAAAATACTAGATTTTATTTTTTAACCGTTTGACGAAGTTGAGACACCGGTGTTCCTTTTATATATACTTTTTCTTGCACTCAAATTACCATCTATAACTTATTTCAGTATTTTTTCATTATAAAAAACAGTATGATAGTTTCTAAAAAACTCTGTTAGATTATCAGAATTATATTTATACTAAAATATGAAATATGAATATAATAATTTGAACAAAAATTTTATTTTCATACATGTAAAAAAGTTATCCGAAATTGATTTTCAAAATTAAAGAAATTGTAAAAATTGAAAATTAAAGAAAATTGTTTCTTTTAGATCAAAATAACTGTGTGTGAAAATAAAGGCAAACTTTAAAAAAAT